CACCAACAACAGTCGCCTAACATCCCTCAGGATGCCACCACCAACAACAGTCGCCTAACATCTCTCAGGATGCCACCACCAACAACAGTCGCCTAACATTCCTAAGGATGCCACCACCAACAACAGTCGCCTAGCATCCCTCAGGATGCCACCACCAACAACAGTCGCCTAACATCTCTCAGGATGCCACCACCAACAACAATCGCCTAACATCTCTCAGGATGCCACCACCAACAACAATCGCCTAACATTCCTAAGGATGCCACCACCAACAACAGTCGCCTAACATCCCTTAGTATGCCACCACCAACAACAGTCGCCTAACATTCCTAAGGATGCCACCACCAACAACAGTCGCCTAACATTCCTAAGGATGCCACCACCAACAACAGTCGCCTAACATCCCTCAGGATGCCACCACCAACAACAGTCGCCTAACATCTCTCAGGATGCCACCACCAACAACAGTCGCCTAACATTCCTAAGGATGCCACCACCAACAACAGTCGCCTAACATCTCTCAGGATGCCACCACCAACAACAGTCGCCTAACATCTCTCAGGATGCCACCACCAACAACAGTCGCCTAACATTCCTAAGGATGCCACCACCAACAACAGTCGCCTAACATCTCTCAGGATGCCACCACCAACAACAGTCGCCTAACATTCCTAAGGATGCCACCACCAACAACAGTCGCCTAACATCCCTAAGGATGCCACCACCAATAACAGTCGTCTAACATCCCTAAGGATGCCACCACCAACAACAGTCGCCTAACATCCCTCAGGATGCCACCACCGACAACAGTCGCCTAACATCCCTCAGGATGCCACCACCAACAACAGTCGCCTAACATCCCTCAGGATGCCACCACCAACAAGAGTCGCCTAACATCCCTCAGGATGCCACCACCAACAAGAGTCGCCTAACATCTCTCAGGATGCCACCACCAACAACAGTCGCCTAACATTCCTAAGGATGAAAGTTAAGACACATGTGCAACATCTGGATGTTGCACATGTGTCTTAACTTTCATATTGTCGGTATTTTATACCTTTCTTACACAACTTGTCAGACACTGCAACATCATGGAATCTTGGTTCAGAGGACATCTACAAGACCTTCTTCACGGCTGCTACAACTAACCCATCTCTTTGGGAAGGACCTACTTCCACTGGGAAATCCCGCCTACCAGTGACTGCCCTCGTCTGCTACACGTCCCTATCCACTGACGCCTATATAACCGCCAGTCTTCTTGCCTTTGCTCCAGATTCTCCTCCACCACGATGCTGTGAACACTAACTCCAAGGCCGAGGGACTGATTACCTCGTCTTTTGTATATAGTTCTACTGTCTTTCTATTATGTCCTAGAATCTGTATTGATAAAGCCACTGGATGGCGAAACGTCTACAATAAAGATATCCAGATGTTGCACATGTGTCTTAACTTTCATATTGTCGGTATTTTATACCTTTCTTGCACATTCCTAAGGATGCCACCACCAACAACAGTCGCCTAACATCCCTAAGGATGCCACCACCAACAACAGTCGCCTAACATCCCTCAGGATGCAACCATCAACAATAGTCGCCTAACATCTCTCAGGATGCCACCACCAACAACAGTCGCCTAACATTCCTAAGGATGCCACCACCAACAACAGTCGCCTAACATCCCTCAGGATGCCACCACCAACAACAGTCGCCTAACATCTCTCAGGATGCCACCACCAACAACAGTCGCCTAACATCCCTCAGGATGCCACCACCAACAACAGTCGCCAAACATCTCTCAGGATGCGACCACCAACAACAGTCGCCTAACATTCCTAAGGATGCCACCACCAACAACAGTCGCCTAACATCCCTCAAGATGCCACCGCCAATAACAGTCGTCTAACATCCCTAAGGATGCCACCACCAACAACAGTCGCCTAACATCCCTCAGGATGCCAACACCAACAGTCCCTTATCATCCCTCAGGATGCCACCAAACAGTCGCCTGACATCCCTCAGGATGCCAACACCAACAGTCCCTTATCATCCCTCAGGATGCCACCAACAACAGTCGCCTAACATCCCTCAGGATGCCACCACCAACAGTACCTTATCATCCCTCAGGATGCCACCAACAACAGTTGCCTAACATCCCTCAGGATGCCACCACCAACAACAGTCGCCTAACATCCCTCAGGATGCCACCACCAACAACAGTCGCCTAACATCCCTCAGGATGCCACCACCAACAACAGTCGCCTAACATCCCTCAGGATGCCACCACCAACAACAGTCGCCTAACATCTCTCAGGATGCGACCACCAACAACAGTTGCCTAACATCTCTCAGGATGCCACCACCAACAACAGTCGCCTAACATCTCTCAGGATGCCACCACCAACAACAGTCGCCTAACATCTCTCAGGATGCCACCACCAACAACAGTCGCCTAACATCTCTCAGGATGCCACCACCAACAACAGTCGCCTAACATCTCTCAGGATGCGACCACCAACAACAGTTGCCTAACATCTCTCAGGATGTCACCACCAACAACAGTCGCCTAACATCTCTCAGGATGCCACCACCAACAACAGTCGCCTAACATCTCTCAGGATGCCACCACCAACAACAGTTGCCTAACATCCCTCAGGATGCCACCACCAACAACAGTCGCCTAACATCCCTCAGGATGCCACCACCAACAACAGTCGCCTAACATCCCTCAGGATGCCACCACCAACAACAGTCGCCTAATATCCTGGAGTCTATTTATTACAAGACAACCAAGAGCAACAGTTTCGAGGAGATTTTCCAGTGTTTAACAGTTTGTATGGAATTCAACCCAGGATGTAAAGTTAAAGTGTGAAGGATAAGTTCGTTAGACAGGCCTGGAATGATGATTGTGTTTGGCGCTCTGCTTGCTCTCTCAAGTGTGTGCATCGTTCCCGCTACTCCCTCCCCCATTTTCCCACCCGGTGAGAGTTAACGTGTGTCCCTCCCAACAGCTGACAGTCGACTTTCGGCTCCCTTCAACCTAAACAAGAGCTAGCCAAATCACTAGCGCACTCAGCTCTCACACTGAGGTCCGGAGATCGACTCCTCAGTACGGCTGGAAAACATTAGGACCTATTTTCATAAGACACCTGTTGTCCATGTTCACCCATTAGTATAAAATGGGTACCTGGGTGTTAGTCGACTGGTGTGGGCCGCATCCTGGGACAAAACTGGCCTAATTTGCCCGAAATGCTCAGCATAACAATCGGCTTTCTATGTAGTAATAAGTCATTGATGTCAATTAGGCCTGTATACCTTGTACATGTACTTGTAGAAATAAAGATATTATTATTATTATTATTATTACTATTATTATTATTATTATTATTATTATCTGATCCACCAGGAGGCCTGGTCACAGACCGGGCCGCGGGGGCGTTGACCCCCGGAACTCTCTCCAGGTAAACTCCACGTAATTATATTCTGGTAATTCAACCTGACCTAATATGCACTTAGGTAAAGTAACGTAATCGTATTTGTCCTCACTATTTTTCTAAAGGCAATACGCCTGTCATGTGAGTGATTTCTTGAATTCTTTGAAATTTTCTATTTCTTCTTTTTTTTTTTTTAGCCTTGATTGTTGGTGCGGGTCATCCAACACAGGCGAGATAAGAGAGGTAGCGTAGATTTAGGATTAGGTCAGAGACGAACTGGCATCAGTACCTATATAGTAAACAGAGTCAAGTCTGTTCCTCATCCTCATATCTGACACAGACAGAGATGTAATCCATAGCTCCGTATCTTCATTTGCAGATGACACCCGAATTGCCATGACAGTGTCCCCCATTGAAGACAATGCAGAACAGCGGACATCAAAAAAAATCTTTAAATGGGGCGCAGAAAATTATATAAAGTTCAATGAGGAGAAATTTCAACTACTTAGATATAAAAAACTTGAGGAAATTAAATCTGTATCACAGTAGAAAACAAATTCTAACCATACAATAGAGCGAAAAACTAATGTGAAGCACCTGGGAGTGATAATGTCCAAGGATCTCACCTTCATCTGCTGGAAAATGATAGGATGGATTATAAGAACCTTGAGAACTAGGGACGCCAAGCCCATGATGATTCTCTTCAAATCGCTTGTTCTCTCTAGGCTGGAATACTGCTGTACACTAACTGTTCCCTTCAAGGCTGGCGATATTGCAGACCTGGAGAATGCACCGAGATATTTCACGACACACATAGGTACGATAAAGCACCTAAATTACTGGGAACGGTTGAAGTTCCTTGATTTGTATTTCCTTTAATGCAGACGAGAAAGATGATAACATGCTCTTGAAAAATTCCAGAGTGATTAGTATCAAACTTGCACATGAAAATCACTCCCTACAAAACCAAAAGATTCGGCAGGAGATGCTGCATTCGCTTAATGAAAAGGAGGGGCGCCACAAGCACGCTATGAGGCGTCAGGGGCCTAAGAGTGTTCAACTACCTCCCAGCATACATAAGGGAGATTACCAATAGACTCCGAGCTGTCTTCAGAAGGCACTGGACAGGTACCTAAAGTCAGTATCTGATCAGCCGGGGTTGTGGTTCGTATGTCGGTTTACGTTTGGCCTGCAGTAACAGCATGGTTGCTCAGACCCTGATTTACCAGGAGCCCTGGTCTCAGAACGGGCCGAGGGAGCGTTGGCCCCCGAAACCTTCTCCAGGTAAACTCCAGGTATCATTGATTTTTTCTATCTTTTAATTTCCATAAGAAGGAATCGATCTTATGTTTGAGGGTCTGATAGAGCTGTTGAATCCTAACAACGAAGCTCTAACCACTAATCTTCCTGAAATTAAAGTGCATATATATATTCTGTGTCTTTTTTTATATTTTTATATAGTACTCTAATAACAAAAAATATTTAAATAATGTAAAGAATCCATCACAAGAAAAAGTTATCAATAAACTTAGATATATTCCCCGGATCTGAGAGTTGATGTTGAACTTACAACTGCGAAAGGCTGAGAGTTCTGACTGAGATGAATCTCTGAAACTGAGGCTGACTCAGGCCAAGTAAGCTGAGTGCTGTGGAGGCTCCTTGAACCTGTGTTGACCAGAAGGTGTGACGCACGAAGGGACTTGGGTCCATACTGCATAAGGGATTTATATAAGTCTCATGTTTCATAGTTTACATAAATGACACATATAAATACATAAATGACACATACAAATACATAAATGACACATACAAATACATAAATGACACATAAATACATAAATGACATATAAATACATACAGACAATCAAACAGAAGAAATAGTCTCAGCCTGAGGCAAAAAATACTTAATTTTTTCTTTCTGTATTTTTCATGAAAGTTTTTTGTACCGCTGCCAAGTATTTAATACACATTTGTTTTTGGGATACATATACACATAAATAATGCAAGATATACAAGAATACTTACTTAAAGAACTCTAGTCGTCCTCCTTGTTCAGCGATTGTCCAGACGTTGGTAAGTCCTCCCAGCTGTTGGCAGCATATCACTGTCACCACCACCACCCCAGCAAACATAAGCAAGGTTTGTACCACATCTGCGTACACCACCGCTTTCACTCCGCCCTGTTATCATTATCATTATTATTATCACATTTATCACACTCGTTATTAACATCGCGATCATCCTGGGCCTAAAAAATTGTTTCTTAAATATTCCTCTGTGCATATTACTTGCCTCAACATAACTAAAGCGACAACTGTGCAAGTAAACACTGAAAGAGAGAAATGGTCATCAGCAGAAGACTAATAATTCAAGCTGTGAGATCCCATGACAGCATTTAGGTAAGATATTATGTCTGGATTTATGTATACATGTATGTAGTATGTGTATAGGTGCATATTTATATGAATCATATGTATTTACGTATACAAGTACGGATATAATACTGTACATTAGGAAGAGTGTTTGCATACAATAAGTCAAACATTATATGTCTGATGTGTGTGTATATGTGTGTGTGTGTGTGTGTACTCACCTAATTGCACTCATCTAACTGTGGTTCCAGGGGTCGAATTATAGCTCCTGGCCCCGCCTCTTCACTGGTCGCTACTAGGCAACTCTCTCCTTGCTCTATAACCTTAATCATAACTCTTCTTAAAAACTATGTATGGATCCGGCCCCCACTATATCACTTTCCAGACAATTCCACTTCCTAACAACTCTATGACTGAAGAAATATTTCCAAACATCCCTGTGACTCTTCTGAGTCTTTAACTTCTAATTGTGACGATCTCTGGAACATCCTATCCCTGCCCAACTTGTCGATTCCTCTAAGTAATTTGTATACTGTTATCATATCCCCTCTATCTTTCCTGTCCTCCGGTGTCGTCAGGTCGATTTCCCTTAACCTCTCCTCGTAGCACATATCCCTTAGCTCTGGGACTAGTCTTGTTGCAAACCTTTGCCCTTTCTCTAGTTTCTTTACGTGCTTGGCTAGGTGTGGGTTCCAAACTGGTGCCGCATACTCCAATAAGGGCCTAACGTACACGGTGTACAGGGACCTGAACGATTCCTTATTAAGATGTCGAAATGCTGTTCTGAGGTTTGCTAGGCGCCCATATGCAGCAGTTATTTGATTGATGTGCGCCTCAGGAGATGTGCCTGGTGTTATACTCACCCCAAGATCTTTTTCCTTGAGTGAGGTTTGTGGTCTCTGGTCCCCTAGACTGTACTCCGTCTGCGGTCTTCTTTGCCCTTCCCCAATATTCATGACTTTGCACTTGGTTGGGTTGAACTCCAGGAGCCAATTGCTGGACCAGGTCTGCAGCCTGTCCAGATCCCTTTGTAGTTCTGCCTGGTCTTCGATCAAATGAATTCTTCTCATCAACTTCACATCATCTTCAAACAGGGACACTTTGGAGTCTATTCCTTCCGTCATGTCGTTCACAAATACCAGAAACAGCACTGGTCCTAGGACTGATCCCTGTAAGACCCTGCTGGTCACAGGCGCTCACTCTGACACCTCGCCACGTACCATGACTCGCTGCTGTCTTCCTGACAAGTATTCCCTGATCCACTGTAGTGCCTTCCCTGTTATCCCTACCTGGTCCTCCAGTTTTTGCACTAATCTCTTGTGTGGAACTGTGTCAAACGCCTTCTTGCACTCCAAGAAAATGCAATCCACCCACCCCTCTCTCTCTTGTCTTACTGCTGTCACCCTGTCATAGATCTCCAGTAGGTTTGTGACATAGGATTTCCTGTCCCTGAAACCATGTTGGCTGCTGTTGGTGAGATCTAGGTGTTCCACCACTCTTCTCCTGATAATCTTCTCCAAGACTTTGCATACATGTCAGTGACACTGGTCTGTAGTTTAGTGCTTCATGTCTGTCTCCTTTTTTAAAAATTGGGACTACCTTTGCTGTCTTCCATGCCTCAGGCAATCTCCCTGTATCGATAGATGTATTGAATATTGTTGTTAGGGATACACATAGCGCCTCTGCTCCCTCTCTCAGGACCCATGGAGAGATGTTATCCAGCCCCATTGCCTTTGAGGTATCTAGCTCACTCAAAGCCCTCACTTCTTTCTTCATTTGTTGTGTGTACTGTGTCCAGCACGTTGGTGGTGTACCCACCTCTCCTCTTTCTTCTGGGCCGCTTCAGTCTCCTCTGTGAACACTTCCTAGAATCTTTGTTGAGTCCCACATACTTCACGTCCATTTCTTGTTGCCTCTCCTTCCTCCTTCCTTCCTTAGCCTGATTACCTGGTCCTTGACTGTTGTTTTCTTCCTGATGTGGGCTTGTATAAACAACTTCGGGTCAGATTTGCTTTCGCCTGCTAATGTCGTTTTCATATTGTCGTTGGGGGGGGCACCCTTCTTATCTGTGCATATTCATTTCTGGTTCTACGACTGCGCTCCTGCAATCTCCTGGTCCTTTTTGCCTTCTATTTTCTTCCATTCCCTAGCACACTTGTTTTTTTTGCATCCCTGTACCTTTGGGTGAACATGGGCATCATCCTGGCTTTTTCATTATTCGTTCTGTTACCCTAGTACTAACCTCTCTTCAGCCTCCTTGCCATGGTTGTTACATATTCCAACCATCTCATTAACTGGCTTCCCTGCCAGTTCTCTGTCCCCACTGAACCCCGTTCAGGAAGTCTCATTCCCTTTCCTCCCCTTTCCCCTTTCTTGTAGTTTGGCTTCATTCGCCTTGGCCTTCCTGCTTCCCCCTCCACTTGTAGCTCTACTGTGTATTCGAAGCTTAAAACCACATGATTGCTGGCCCCAAGGGGTCCTTTCAATGTGATGTACTCAATATCTGCACGAACTCAAGGTGATACAGGTCCAGTCCTTGCTTGTTCATCTCTCCTCTCTCTCTTGTAGTGTCCCTTTACGTGTTGGTACATGAAATTTTCCAGTGCCACCTCCATCATCTTAGCCCTCAATGTATTTTGGCCCCCATGTTGCTCCAAGTTCTTTGCCCTTCATACATGAGCTCTTCTGGCCACTGCAGCCAGTGTGTGCACCATCGCTCTATTGCTCTCATCATACTCTTGCCTTGACCTTCTGCTGTTCTGTAGTGGTTATACATCACTGTAATTACCACTTTGGGACCTCCAGAGTGAAGCGTTCCTGCTATGTAATCGCTTGCTTCTCTGCTGTCTCCTCTCTCCAGCTCATCAAAATTCTATCAGTTTTTGATCAGCAGTGCCACCCCTCCACCCCCTGTACCCTCTTTCTTTCCTCAGAATCAGGTATCCCTGGAAAGCTGGTAATGTTATCATACCTGTAAGCTTAGTTTTTTCTTGTGAGAGCTATATGTCCGGTGATGCTCATTGACTCCTATTCGTGCCACTTCTAACCACGTTATTTGTTATTCCAACAGCGTTTGTGTACCATACCTCAGTTCCTCCTCCTCTCCAACACTGTGGTTTGGGGGGCCTGTGAGGGCGGGAGACCTGCTTAGTGCACTGTTGGGGTTCTAATAGCTGGGAGTTGGTGAAGCTTGAGTATGATTGGTAGATTGTATGTTGGGAGGGTGTGATATGTTGTGGGTTCTGAGGAGGTTCTGTGTGTGTGCTTGCCCATTGCTGCTCAGAGTCCTGCTCTATTGACCTCTGCTGGTTCCGTCCTGTCTCCTTTCCTAGCACCTTTCGCTTTTTTTTCCTCTCCCTCAGTTGCTGTCATTCTGTTTGTGATCTGTCTCTGTCTAGGAATGCCCTCTTGTACTCTTCCAAGTGCTTCAACCGTGTTTCTCTTGAGGATCCTGTTCTGCATTGTTTTTGTCCTGAGAATCAAATTGATCGGTTGTTTTCTCCCCTTCAAATACCCCCCTATTCTCTGAAAATTTACAATCTCGCCCATGTCTTCTTCACCTATTTCTGTGATGATGTTTTCTTAATCTTATCTCCTTTCTTTCTGCCTGCCCATCTTTCAGTGTGTGTCCTTTCCTCTCGCTCCTGAACCATGGATGAACACTGATTTTGCCCTTTCCTCTCCCATTGCCTCTCCCTCCTGTGACTCTGGTTCCTTTCTGTATGTGGTCATTTTCTCCCTTGTTTTTTTTCTAGTGGCTCTGTGTAGGCATGGTTTGTGCCTCTGCATTTGACCTATCACCCTCTCCATCCTCACCCGGCTGCTCTCCCCTTCACTCCTTTGGCCGTTTCTTGGCAGGTTGATATGACCTTAGCATAATTCATATACTCCCTTCCATCCTGTTCGGGCGGTCCTCTCAGCTTCATATGCTGTGTCCTCCTTGTCAGTGATCCTGTAAACTCGCTCAGCCTGTTTACCTCATCTTCTAGACCCTTATCCTGCTACTGCAGTTGTCGACTTGTTCCTTCCGATTCTTCTTCTCCTACTCCAACCTCTTTTCTAATTTCACAGAAAGCTTTGTCTCCATTTTTTCAGAAAGCTCTCCTAATTTCTCTCCCACTCTTGTTCTCGACATCCTTTTTTCCACGCCACTCTCCCTCCCTACCAGAAACCTTCTCGTCTGATCCCTGGTTCCTTACAACTCTCCCCACCATTTTTTTTTTTTTCTTCTTTTTTCTCCCTTTTCTTCCCTTTCCTTTTCTTTTTTCTTTTTTTTGAAAGAGAAAAAGAGTGAGAGAGAGAGAAAAAGAGAGAGAAGGGGAAAGGTGGAAGGATAGAGGGGGGGAGAGTGGAAGGAAAAGGGGGATAGAGAGTGAGAGGGAGAGAGAGAGAAGAGAGAAGCGAGAGAGAGAGAGGATAGACGAGAGAGAGAAGAGAGAGAAGAGAGAGAGAGAGGGGAGAGAGAGAGAAAGAGAGAGAGAGAGAGAGAGGAGAGAGAGAGAGAGAGAGAGAGAGGAGAAGAGAGAGAGAGAGAGAGAGAGAGAGAGAGAGAGAAAGAGAGAGTAGAGAGAGAGACGAGAGAGAGAGAGAAGAGAGATAGAGAGAGCGAGAGAGAGGGAGAGAGAGATGAGAGAGAGAGAGAGAGAGAAGAGAGAGACGGAGGAGAGAGAGTTAAGAGAGAGAGAGAGAAGAGAGAGAAGAGAGAAGAGAGAGAGAGAGAGAGAGAGAGAGAGAAAGAGGCTGCTGAGCCTCGAGCGCCTACCGCCCCGCTCGCTCGCCTCTCGCGTCTCCCGCTCGCGCTCTTCTCGCTTCTCTCTCTCTTCTCTCTCTTCTTCTCTCTCTCTTTTCTCTCTCTTCTCCACCCCACCCCACCCCCCAACCCCTAAACAACACACACCTTCAACCCCAGATGCTAAACCCTCATAATAACAATAGATAAACCCATACCATCCCACCAACTAACACGAGGTGGCCCCTCGAACAACCACGCAAGGCATCGGCCATTCGGGCCCGCCATAGATAAAATCTTACAACCCTAATTAATACATTTGGAGGATAATGGACTAAAAACTAAGTGACTAAATACAGTTTAGTGAGATTTATGCAATGTGAATGCTTTTGTTTTGGCACAATCCATATTTTCTATATTAGAGTATGCACAGGTAAACTTATGACAAGTTAGATCATTATTTTAAAGATTAAGATACGTAATTCTGTGCTTTAGTAAAAGGGGAGTGATGAGTATTAAAGGTGAACCACCAGGTTGTTTTTATGTAGTTTAGTTGACGGGGTGTATCAGGAGATAAGATTTTTTCTAATGGTAGTTTTGAAGGTGATGAATGTGTCCTGCAGTTTCTAGAGTGTTCAGGGGGTAGTTGTGCTCCAGATTTTAGGGCCTTTAAGCCAGTGCATTGAATTTAATGTAAAGGTTTAAGTCAGACATCTGGGAATGTCGCAGAGATATTTTGTCTGGTGTTTTCCCTGTGGGTCCTGTCACACTATCAAGAAAGCATTTAGTCAAGGTTATATTGGAATTTTAAGATCCTGTATATATGTAGATTGCACAAGTGGAGTAAGGGGAGGTGGTCGATGTACTGAATCGGGGAGTAAGTTTAGATTACTATGAGAGAGTGGTGGGGGAAGAGGGGGGGTGGGGGGGGGGCGGTGTATGCCAAGGGATGGATTTAGGGGGAGTGATTATTCTTACTGACCTACATACTGCACAATAACTGCAAACTGCAAATGGCAAAGCTAAATTCAAGACAAAAAAACACAAAGCAGCCAGTTTTGGTAGAGTTATTAATTAGCTTTAGGTGTGTTTGCTTGCAGTTGATCCCCCCAAGCACAAATAGCATGGAGAGTGGAGTAAGTATAAATGAGTAAGGCGGTAATTTGCGGCCAAGTAGTATCGTAACTTATAACTTGGAAAGGATCCCCAACACCATTTATTGGATACTTTTTTGGTTTTTTACTTTTTTTGTTAAATTTGATGGATAATGTATTTGGCTGCAATTCAGATTGTTGTCCGAGGAGGTGTAGGTCTATTGAAGGGAGTTTTGCCCTCTATTAAATGACTGCATTATGCTGGTGGCAATCAGAGTGTTGTCGGATCACTTAAATGTTAAGAAGTTTCTGCAAAAAATACAAAAAAACAAAAGCAAAGCAAAACACCAAAAACAAACCAATCCCCTAAAAACACCTGCTTCTGTCTGTCCTGCTAAACAAACCAAACATTAATATAGTTGTGATAGGGAGCAAAGAGGATAGGAGAGTAGAGAGAGGGGGAGAGACAGGTAGAGAGGAGAAGGGGTGGCGCACAGAGAGGATAGATAGAAGATGAGAGAGTGGAGAGCTATGAGAAGGGGGAGAGGAGTTTTAGAAAGAGAGAGAGAGACGGAGAGATAGAGAGAGCGAGAGATGATAGAAAGTCAGAGAGAGAGAGAGAGAGCAGAGAGGAGAAAATAGAGGATACGATAGGTGAGAAGAGGGGTAGAAAGGGGCAAAGAGAGGTGGAGAGGGCGATGGCTAGCGGGCGTGGAGGCGCAACCGCGGGGAGCAACTGTGGCGATAGGGGGCGCAGGACGCCTCGCTCTCTCTTCTCTGCGCGCGGCGAGAGTCTATGCTCTTTCGTCGTGCTGCTCACCGCATTTCCCAGGCGCTGTCCCTCACGCATCTCATTTTTCTCTCATACCCTCTTTGTTCGCTCATGTTCTACTTTTCCTGCATCTGTCTCTTGGTTCCTCATAACTTCTTGTCTTCTTCGGATAACTCTTTTCTCTCATGTTTTTCTTTTTCTCAACATTTCTCTTTTCTCTCTCTGTCTCTACTGTACCCTCTCTCTCACTTATCCTCTCGCTCACTTACCGCTCACTTACGTGTCGCACTGGACGATCTCTCGGACACTCTCGATCTCTCACATAACTCTCTCTCTCACTTACTCGTCTCTCACTTACCCTCCCCCACGACAACCTCTCTCCCTCTCTCTCCTCTCTCTTCTCCTTCTCTCTGCTCTCTCTCTCTCTCTCGCGCTCTCTCGCTCGCTCTCTCTCTCCAGCTCATTGTCTGCGGGGCCACTATGCACTATTCCAGACTCTGTCTTTATAACCCCCCACCTGACCGTAACCCCTGGCCGGAGAGCCCACACAGATACTGACACACCCCACCAATAGTAGTAGGCGAGTGCAATGTAGACCACCGCAAAAACCCCCCGATGCCATCCCGCATTGAACAGAGAGAGCGTGAGTGAGTATAAGATATAAGATGATATTGTTAGTAATAGATAGAGAGAGATAGATGATAGAGAGAATATTGAGAGTGATTCATGAGAGCTACCACCATAGAGATATATAGATATAGAGAGATAGAGATAGATATGAGAGTACATGATAGATTTAATCAGATAGCTATATATATAGAATATTTTATAGATAGAGAGAGTATATTAGATATCCATATGATATACAGATGAGAGAGATGAGTAGAGATGATTACATGTATACATATATATATATATATTGCTATAGATATAGAGTGATGATTGATGAGATATAGAGTGATGTGATAGATGATTTGAGATATAGTTGACAGGAGTGTGTGAACACACCAATTTTGACCTCCCCACTTATGTTGGAGCAGGGGTCGAGACCTTAGCTCCTGCCCCGCCACTTCACCGGTTAGCTACTAGCCCACACTCCTCCCCCGCTTCCATGAGCTTTAACAAACCTCGTCTTAAAACTGTGTATGGTTCCTGCCTCCACTACGTCCATTTTTCCCTATGCCATCCACTGCCTTACAACTTATGACTGAAAGAAATACTTCCTACTACTCTCTGACTCATTTGTGTCTTCAACTGACTTCCAATTGTTGGCCTACAACATTGTTTTCTGTGTCCCCTATCCTGAACATATCCTGTCTTTGTCACCTTGTCAAATCCAACGCAGTATTTTATATGTCGTTATCAATTGTCCTCCCCTGACCTCCTTCCTCCAGTGTGGTCAGGCCGATTTCCCTTAATCTTTCCTCATAGGACATTCCCCTTAGCTCTGGAACTTAACCTGACGCAAAAACCTTTTACTTTCTCTATTTCTTGATGTGCTTTATCAAGTGCCCCGGGTTCCAAACAGGTGCTGCCTACTCCAGTATGGGCCGACATACACGGTGTAAAGTGTCTCAATGATACCTTACCAAGGTATCGTAATCTGTTCTCAGGTTTGCCAGGCGCCCATATGCTGCAGCAGTTATCTGATTGATGTGGTGCTTCCGGAGACATGCTCGTGTTATACTCACCCCCAAGAGCTTCTCCTTGAGTGAGGTTTGCAGTCTTTGGCCACCTAGCCTATACTGCTGTGTGTGTGTGTGTGTGTGTGTGTGCATGTGTTGTGTGTCAAATGGTGTGTGTGTGGTGTGTGTGTGTGTGTGTGTGTGTTGTGTGTGTGAGTGTGTGTGTGGTGTGTGTGTAGTGTGTGTGTGTGTGGTGTGTATTGTGTGTGTGTATGTGTGTGTGTGTGTACTCACCTAATTGATTACTCACCTAATTAGGTGGTTGCAGGGGTCGAGACTCAGCTCCTGCCCCGCCTCTTCACTGATCGCTACTTGGATCCTCTCTATCTCTGCATCCTGAGCTTTGGTCATACTCTTCTTAAAACTATGTATGGTTCCTGCCTCCACTACTTCACGTTTGCTAGGCTATTCCACTTGCTGACTAACTACTCTCATGACTGAAAGAAATACTTCCTAACGTCCCTGTGACTCGTCTGATCTTCAGCTTCCATTGTGACCTCCTTGGTCCCTGTTCCCCCTCTCTGGAACATCCTATTCTCTCTGTCCCACCTTGTCTATTCCCCGCAGTATCTTGTATGTCGTGTATCATGTCTTCCATTGTCTCTCATGTCTCCTCCCTGACCCTCTGTCCTCCATGTCGTCAGTCCGATTTCCCTTAACCTTTCCTCGTACGAACATTCCCCTAGCTCTGGTACTAGCCTTGTTGCAAAAACCTTTGTACTTTCACTAACTTCTTTGACGTGCTTGACCAGGGTGGGTTCCAGACTGGTCTGCATACTCCAGTATGGGCCCAACATACACAGTGTACAGTGTCCTTGAATCGCTTCTCCCCTTATTTAAGGTACGGAACGCTATTCTCAGGTTGCCAGGCGCCCGTATGCTGCAGCGTTATTTTTGTTTGATGTGTGCTCCGGAGATGTGCTCGGTGTTATGGTCACCCCAAGGTCTTTCTTTCCCTGAGTGAGGTACTGTAGTCTTTGTCCACCTAGCCATACTCTTCCGCGGTCCTTTCTGTTCTTTGCCCCTCCCCAATCTCTGACTTTGCATTTGGCTGTGATTGAATTCGAGAAAGACAGGCCATTACTGACCCACATGTCCCGCCTCTCCAGGTCTCATTGCAGTCCTGCCTCATCCTCGTCCGATTTAATATCTTCTCATCAGCTGTGTGTTTATGTGTGTGAGTGTATTGTGTGTGTGTGTGTGTGTGTTTGTGTGTGTGTGTGTTGTGTGTGTGTGTGTGTGTGTGTGTGTAATGTGTTGTATGTGTGTGTGTGTGTATGTGGGTGTGTGTGTGGAGTGTGTGTGCGTGTTATGTGTGTGTGTATTGGTGTGTTGTGTGTGTGAGTGTGTGTGTGTGTGTGTTGTGAGTGTGTGTGTGTGTGTTTAATGGTGTGTGTGTGGAGTGTGTGTGATGTGTGTGTGTGTGTGTGTGTGTGTGTGTGTGTGTATGTGTGTGTGTGTAAGTGTGGTGTGTGTGTGTGTGTGTGAGTGTGTGTGTGTGTGTATGGTGTGTGTGAATGAGTGTGTGTGTAAATTGTGTTGTGTGTGTGTGTGTGTGTGTGTGTGTGTGTGTGTATGTGTTGTGTGTGTGTGTGTGTGTGTGTGGTGTGTGTGTGTGTGTGTGTGTGTGTGTGTGTGTGTGTGTATGTGTAGCCCGCTTGTGTGCCCCCACTTCTAATATTCATACAGCTTATAAATACCATAGTAATACCATAAATCTAAAACTTACCTGAGAATACTAAATTCTAACACTTTATCAATTCTTTCTAACTTATTTTAAATGCAGAAAGAAACTAGTGTAAAATTTAGCTTGTCTCAACTTCAACAATGTCTGGACGTTATCCCATCGCTAGAAACCTATGCCAAATCAAAAGTCGAGAACAACGTCCAGTAATTGGGACCTTAATTAAACAAGATGGGTCCTACAACAGATGACAGCAAGGAAATGAGTGACCTACTCAAGTCCCAATATGACTCAGTTTTTAGCAAGCCACTAACCAGAACTGAGAGTTCGAAATCAAAATGAATTTTTTATGAGAGAGCCCGAGAGTTTTGTTAACACAGAACCTAACTGATGTTTTATCCTGACGCAAATGACTTCGAACAGGCGATAAATGACATGGCCATGCACTCTTCTGCCCAGGGCCAGACTCATGGAACTCCGTGTTCATCAGAACAGCAAGAAGCCCCTATCACGACCTTTTACGCATTCTATGGAAGGGGGAGCAATGGACACGGGTCGTTCCCACAGTTACATAAAAACAACATTACTAGCCCACCCACAAAAAAGTGGGGCAGAAAAGCAACAGCAAAAGAACTACAAACAGACCGATAGCACTAACATCCCCATATCATAAAAATCTTTGAAAGAGTCCAAGGAACAAGATCAACCACCCATCATTAGAAACCCATCAGTTACACAACCCAGGGCAAACATGGGTGATAGAACAGCCGCCCTGTCCTGTCTCAACTATTGGATCACTACGAAAAGGTCCTAGACTGCACCTAGAAGACTAAATAGAATGCAGATGTAATATATAACAGAATTTGCAAAAGCCTCACGACAAGTGTGACCATGCGTACTAGCGCACAAAATGCGTGCAAAAGGAATAACAGGGAAAAGTCGGACCGATGGATCTTATAAAATTTCCTCACTAACAGAACACAGAGAGTAGTAGTCGCGCACGGAGTAAAGTCCCGAGGGCAGGCAAACGGTGAAGAAGCTCTGTTCCACAAGGCACAGTACTCGCTGCTCCCACTTGTTCCTCATCCTCATGATCTGACATAGACAAGGATGTCAGAGCCAACAGCAACCGTGTCTTCCTTTGCTGATGACACCCGAATCTGCATGACAGTGTCTTCCATTGCCAACACTGCAAGGCTTCCAGCGGACATCACCAAATCTTTCAGTTGGGCTGCAGAAAACAATATGAAGTTCCAACGATGAAAATTTCAATTACTCAGATATGGTAAACATGAGGAAATTAAATCTTCATCAGAGTACAAAACAAATTCTGGGCCACAAAATAAGAGCGAAACAACCAACGTCAGAAGACCTGGGAGTGATCATATCGGAGAATCTCACCTTCAAGGACCATAACATTGTATTCGATCCGCATTCTGCTAGAAAAATGACAGGAATGGATAATGAGAAACCTTCAAAAGAGGGATGCCAAGCCCTGATACACTCTTTCAGGTCACTGTTCTATCTAGCTGGAATATTGCTGCAACACTAACATGCATACCTTTCATGGCAGGTGAAATTGCGACCTAGAAAATGTACAGAGAAACCTTCACGGCGCGCAATAAACGGGAGGAATAAAAAACAAAAACACACCTCAATTAACTGGGAGCGCTGAGTTCCTGAAACCTGTATTTCCCCTGGAACGCAGGCGGGAGAGAACAATGATTATATACAAACCTGGAAAATCCTAGAGGGACTAAGTAAGCGACTTATGCACAACA